TATTTTTAAATGAACAACCAAATGCGTGGGAAAGCCTCTTCCTGTACTTGCACACGTGGATGCCTAAAGTTCGTAACCAAAGCATTTTGAATGGAAAGAAAGCCACCTCAGAAGTATTGAAATATAAGCCGAGATGACAACATATTTCGCAGCATAGCTCTTGTCCAAGTGGGCGGAAATACAATAATTGTTGGGAAAAATTGAATGAAGTCATGGTACACAAGGAAGAAGTAGTCATTACCGAGCATCTCTAATGGCATTCGCATGGTTTTGAGCATGTAAAAATATGCTATTTTCTTGTAAAAACTATTTTATTTCGAAGACATGTGTTTTGTGAGCAAATGGAAACCGTAATTATATATTTTTTCAAATGAGACTTTGCTATCCCCCATACCTTGGATCTAAGAAAATGATTAATAATTAATTTCCTCTTTTATGCGTTCTATGTTCACGGTTAAGCTAAACGGTGATGTTTGTGTTTGTGCTTTTAGATTATGAAGCGAGCAACACTGGAGACTTGGGAGAGCCTGCTGGGCGAAGAGTACACGGAGGATGTGCGCAGAGTATGGGACCTCCTGCTTGACTGTATTACGACGGCGATGTGTGAGGGTTGCACGATATTCGAGGAGGAGGACAAACGACTCTCATTGAAGGAGCAAAAGCAGCGAGGGTCACAGTCAAAATCGGATGGCAGCAATGCGGTAGCAGAATTCTGCAACTCAGACGAAGAGGAGGCTGAAACGAGGGAGGTATCAGAACTGGGGGAAGATTTGCTTCCGGACTATCTAGGCACCATCAAGTTAGACCTGTTGGTGGAATCTTCACACGAACATTTGCTCCACAAAAAAATCATTCAATAAAGATGAGAGAGAAGTTGAACAGGTTTGGGGTCATCAAAGGACAAATTAATGCCCAATTTTCATGAAACAAATTGAAAATGGCCCTCAAAGTACCAATCCATGCGGTGCTTTATACTCTTTCCTTCTGTTTATCGTTATGCATATGTGAGTTAAACTTAGTATGTCGCATCAACATGTAAGGATATGTAAATATATTATACACATTTAACTTGGGACGTAGCAGCCATATTGTCTTCTTACAGCAGACCAGTTGTACCAAAGCCATTTTGTGTATAAAAACAACATCACTGCCTTGCTATGCAAATCATTTGGCAACATTGTCAATGGGAAAGGTTGATGAAAGTATTTTATAGCGAGTTTATTTAGGGGAAAATAGGTCTAGTTTCGGAACAAACTGGAGAAAATGAGAACCCAAATGGCTGTCGATTCCATACTTACAAAGAAGTTAAGTAGCCAACAAAATGAAATTCTTTGCTAGCGGCAAAATGAAAATGGTAAAGCAGATATGATTTCCCGTGAAGTTTAGCTTTACCTGATTAAGCACTCCCCGAGGTAAAAGTCAGGCTTCATAAATTACCAGGAAAAGGGAAAAAATCGCTTCATAACGAATGAGATAACAAATGGCTCTTCTGGGTCTGAAAGTTATTTGGACCACTACGGCCGAGTAGGTGTTTGAGAAAAGCATATGACAACCGGTTTTCATCATCTGCCCTTTTCCGAGATAGAAGTGAAAGCAGTCCGGCTCAGAGATCTTGTAATGTAGAGCCCAGAAGCTTCATCTTTACTTGCATACAAATTAATTACATTGTCTTAAGCCATGTGGACCAAGCTCCCTCAGCTGTTATCTTGTTTAAAAAAATAGCTTAAGGTTGGTTG